TTAAACTTGTATCCGTATACTTAAACACTTGTATTAGATCGTGTTTAATAAAAATGTCATCGAATATTTTCATCTATTCAACTTACCACAAAAAACAAATTGAGCATCTGGACTGAATGAAGCTTCAATAGGCATATTTTTTGTATTTGTAAAACCCTAAAACGAAAAACAACTTTATTTTATTTTATTCATTTTTCTACTTTCAACAAACCGATAAAGTATGTTTAAGTTGTCCAGTAAATGCATCAATTAAACGAATAATATTACCATTTGTTGTAAGCATAATTGTTTTACCATCAGCACTAAATTTCAAACTTGTCCATTCACAATCTTTTTCTTTTGGTAATTGAAAAGTTGAAAAAGGACCCTAAATAAGAAAACACTTATTATTTTGTACATGTAAATATAAAATGATAAAATAACCTTATCAAATGATCGTAAATCATATAATTTGATCATTTCAGATGTAATACCAGCACCAAAAATAAGACCCTAAATATAAATATATTAAATTTTATTATCTGTTTCAACAACTAAAAATCAATTTTACTTCAGGATCAAAATTAGCTACTGGTCGACCATTCAAATGCATAAGTCCCTTTTAAATTACAAAATAAAAGAAATTAATAAGTATTTTAAAATAAACTTTTAATAAAAGAATAAAAAACTAACTGCACAATTTGCTGATTTCAGATCCCATAATCGTATTGTATTATCAAGAGAACCAGACAAGAAAATATCATCAACTGGTGACATTGATAATGTAATTACTCTAATAAAACCAAAAAAATTTCAAAATAATTAATTTTTAAATACAATTTAAACATATATTTTACTTTCTAACATGACCAGGAAAATATCTAATATATTTATTATCATGTAAAGATAAAAACCGTATTGTATCTAGAAGAAGCAAAAAAAAAATTATTCATAAAATTCAATCTAAACAAGAAAAAAGAATCTCTCTTTTTATTTTACCATCAATTTTTGTTGAACTATGTATAACTGTATTTGTTGCATGTGTAAAACGAATTAAATCAACACCATATTTTTTGCTATTAAGTGTTTTTTTGGCACTAGAAAAAAAAAATTTCACATCTTTCTTTTTCTTTCAACAATAAAAATCATAAATAACATACGATCCAGCTTGACAATCATATATAACAATTGAATCATCATCACTACTTGTTATTAATGTTTCACCATTAGCAGAAAAATCTAATGCATTTATTCGATCTGTATTTTCATGAAAAACACGTGCATTACGAAATGTTTTAACAACAGCTTCTGTTAATTTAAGTCCTTCAACATTATTATTTGATGTTGAATTTGTTGGAGATGTTGTTGTATTTAATGTTGTAGCCATTAATTGAGACTCATCGCGCATAATCAATTCATATGAATATATAATAAAAATAAGAAAATGTTTTGTTCTTTCTATTTTCTTAATAAGATTTCCGTTTGTATGGATTTGATTTCATATTATAGTTGTTGTTAATTGGTTCGACGAATCGATGAAGACTAAAGCGCCACATACAATGAATTTTATTTAGACAAAAAAAAGGAATTTTATTTTTTGATTGGTTCCTTTATTTCTTCAATTAAAATAAAAGTTTTTTGTTGGTTGTTGCTCTCTTAGACAAGAAAAAGAATAAGTCTTCTGTGTTTTGTTGAACATGAAACAACTGACAACATTTCGAAGTCAATTTGATTTTCAATCGATACGATGGAAAGATATGATTCGGTTTGTTTTGTATTTATTAATTTTTTCTTTTTTTTTTATAAAAATGACTTCACATTTTCATACTTGTCTAAAATATCATTCCATGATCATAACAATCATCTGAGGGTGGAATACATTTTCTTTATATCTAAGGAGAAAATTAAAAATCTTCTTTTTTTTTTTGTTTTTTATTTGAAACAGAAAATGAGAAGGTTTTTTCGTATATTTTAATAATTTTTTTGTAATTAGATGGTTTCCTGGTCATATGCATAAAGGTATGAAAGATCTTGAAGAATCATTATTACGTATTGATGGTATCGTTGAACTACATGATGCACGTATTCCACATTCTGGTCGTAATCCTGAATTATATAAAAGATTAGTTGGCGGTCATAAACCACATATACTTATACTTAATAAATCTGATTTAGCCGATTCAAATTATTTAAATAAATCTGTTGAATATATTCAAATTGAACAACCAAATACACAAGTTGTACATACAAATTTAATGACAATTGAAATAAAAGAATTAACAAATATATTTGGTCGTCTTCTTCAACAAATAATTGAATCACCACGTTATACAAGAAGTTCAACACTAGAATATAATATTGTTGTTTGTGGAATACCCAATGTTGGCAAATCAACATTTAGTATGTTTAGTAAAAAAATTAAAAAAATTCATGTTCATTTATTTTTTTTGTTTTAAGTTAATAAACTTCGTAATTTATTTGCAAATAAACGAAGTTGTGAACAAGTTGGTGCAAATCCTGGTGTAACAAGAACAATGAGTGAAAAAGTTAAAATATCAAATCGACCAAAAGTATTTGTACGTGATACACCTGGTATACTAGAACCACGTTTAAAATCAGCTAATGAAAGTTTTCGTTTACTTTTAACAAATTCTATACCAATACAACAACGTGAATTATCAGATATCATTGCTGATTATGGATTATTTCTTTTAAATAAATACGATAAACAACGTTTATATATGAAATATTGTGAACTTGATAGACCAACTGATGATATATTAACTGTTCTAACTTCAATAGCAAAATTAAGACATTGTACACAAGTATATAGAAATAAACTTGGATATGATTTAACAGGTGCAGCTTTACATTTTATAAATGAATTTAGTAAAGGTACATTCGGTAAGTATTTTATATTCATGTTTCTCTTTTTGTTAGATATTTGTGTTTATTTTGTTTTTATTATAGGACAAATAACGTTCGATCAAGATATTCTTGATGAAATGGAAAAAGAAAAATTGAATGATACAAA